TTTTTACTTTCTCATCGAGTCACAATAAAATATCGCGCGCCACTCATCTGATGAGGAGTTTGATCGTTTATAAAATTTTGCGCAAAAATAAGTTGTTTTGCTAAAAGACATTTATGAAACATAGCAAGTGAAACCCAGAAATATGGGAACCTGGAAAATTGGGTGTTTTTTCGTACTGGAATTTCTACGCAGCGCTAAATTTTTGTTCAGATTCTAAGTGTTTTTTTTTTTTCTGAAATACTGCTGCAATATCCATGTAGTTGGGATGATTTTTTGTGCAAAAAACTAAGAAAATACATGAAGTATCACTAAAAAGTACATGAAATAAAGATTGGCCGATGCGCCAGCTTGGCTTTGTGGCTTGTATTAGAGATAGCTGCCCAGTAGGTTATTCAGTTTCGGGCATCCTCGAACAGATATTCCGAGTTCGTTTGTACTTTGCTTTTTGTCTCATCAAATGTTTTGGTGACTTACAATAACCTCCAGCTGCAGACTGTAGCGCATTTTTACTTCCTGGTTGAGATAGAAATAATTTCAAGATCTTTCCGTACCTCATTTCTGTCAAGCCCTTTTTCTCTCCTCATTTCTTATATATAATAGAGATACTCGGAAATAGCCCAATGTAACAACATGTTGTCAAAATTCTCGACCCCGGTAGCAAGGCCGTTGATGGCTCTTTTTTGCGAAAATTGATTAGAAGCAAGCTGATTGCAGTTTTAGCCCTTACTTTTCCTAATTCCTTCCGCCCACAGGGCCCAACGGCTCGTGGGGTCTTTTACTTAATTATATAGAACTTTGTAAAGCTACTGAGTTTCAGCGGTCCGGTGATAGTGATGGAACTTCGCTGCTCATCGGGGAGTGCGATCGAACGCTGGCGAGCACTGGCCGGGCCGTCAAAGATGTTGCGCACACTGCAGCCCCAGAATCGTGATTGTTTGCGAGCTCGTTACGCACTTTCCGACACACGCAATTTGGTACATGGTGCCGATTCGGAGCAAACTGCCATCTACGAATTGAGTTTATTTGCACCATATCCAAAACTTTGTCTGAAGAATGTAATACCGGAAATTGTTTGTTGATAACATGTTCATCGCTTGGCTTATCACTTGGTTTTCCTGTCCTAATTATGGGTTCACGTGAAATCAAGCTTTGTATGGCAATTCGAAGATGAAGTGGGGCAATAAGTAGTACTAGAAGAGGCATGATTTGTATTTTTAAAAAAAGAAACCTTTAAATAAAGTGAGATGTCCAGCGAAAAACGATTTTAAAAAGCAGCATTCGGGACATGGGGGTAGGGATTTCTGAAACTGTGTAAAGTTCATAGGGAAAAAGGAATGAGAAAGAAAAGGACTATGTGTGAATGGAGGTTATATAGATGAAGATCGGCAGGGGAATACAGTAAACGAGACGGAGGAGCAAGAGGGTCAGCAGAGTTGGGGCGATGGAAATGTGAAGTAGTGGTATTAAATTGACGATTTTGTACAAAAGGCAGCTAAGGTGCTGAAATTTTCTGAGCATGGCCCACAACTATTTTTGAGCAGAAGCATGTGAAAGCAGCTTTCAAGGACTCATTAGACAAGGAAACTGATCGCTTATCTGGTTGCGAAAAGGCACCTTAAGCATCTTTACGAAAAGACATTCCAAGCAAGTTTAGCATTTTCCTATTTAAACTTGACTGCGTATATACAGACTTTGATTATGGCCCACATTTCGGCTTGCGAGAAAGTTTGGTTGATTACATTATTTTAGAACATAAGTTAAAAAAAACTTGAAAGACAAATTCCTCAAACAACTCCAGGTGACATCTAGTTACAGTTTCTGTTCTGCACGGATGTTGACCTTGTGTACAAAATCGGAATCAAAATTGCTGCGATTGGAAATTTTGAGAATTATTTCCTCAAATAGTTTGAGATAAATAATTTGAGATTAAGCAAATTTGATTTTTAGCATCATTTCTTCAATTCAGTAATTTTTTCTTTGTCATTGCAACATATGAATTATATTGAAAATGTGCTAGAGAGACCTCGCCACA